GTTGTTGTTGTTGCTGCTGCTGTTGTTGTTGTTGTTGTTGTTGTTGTTGTCGTTATCGTTGTCGTTGTCGTTGTTGTTGGTGTTGGTGTTGGTGTTGGTGTTGTTGGTGTTGTTGTTGTTGGTGTTGTTGTTGTTGTTGCTGTTGTTGTTGTCGTTGTTGTTGTCGTTGTCGTTGTTGTCGTCGTTTTCGTTGTTGTTGTTGTCGTCGTTGTTGTTGTTGTCGTCGTTGTTGTTGCAGTTGTTGCAGTTGTTGCTGTTGTTGCTGTTGTTGCTGTTGTTGCTGTTGTTGCTGTTGTTGTTGCTGTTGCTGTTGCTGTTGCTGTTGCTGTTGCTGTTGCTGTTGCTGTTGCTGTTGCTGTTGCTGTTGCTGTTGCTGTTGCTGTTGCTGTTGCTGTTGTTGTTGTTGTTGTTGTTGTTGTTGTTGTTGTTGTTGTTGTTGTTGTTGTTGTTGTTGTTGTTGTTGTTGTTGTTGTTGTTGTTGTTGTTGTTGTTGTTGTTGTTGAATATCATGCTCGTTGTCGTTGTGGTTGTTGGTGTTTGTGTTGGCGTTGGTCAAGCTTTTGTTGCTGTTGTTGTTGGTGGTGTTGTCGTTGTTGTTGTTGTCGTCGTCATTGTTGTTGTTGTTGCTGTTGTTCTTCATGTTGTTGCTGTTATAGCTGCCGCTGCTCTGCTGCTGCTGCTGCTGCTGCTGCTGCTGTTGTTGGGTTGTTTGGGGGAGGTTTCTCTTTATTCAACCGCCAGAAGACAAGGTTGGTGCTGTTTTTTGCTTTCGCTGCTGTAACGACTACTTTGGGGAGGGTTCCCTTGAGTGAACTACTAGCAACGGATGCATCCTTGGTTTGCCAATGGGGTCGTAAAGGGGGGGGGGGGGCTGGGTTGACACGTCATGATTTGCCAGCAGGCACCGTTTGTTTGGTGCTTTCTTTGCTTGACTGGAATGCCCCACTTGCGTTTGTGTTTCCTTTTGGCTATGATTTGTGGTTGGCTTTTGGCAGAACGGGCTTGTCCAACTTGTTCGATCCAGTGCATGAGCTGCCATCCTCATCGACATCTTTGACCATTCATGTGTTGCAAACCAAACACAAACAACAGTTCCGCTCTTCGCCGACAATTGTTTTATGCGTCTTAGGGTGCTAAATAGCCCATGCCTTGTAGTTTCCCAGAGGACAGGGATGTTTTGAAGCCCCTCTTTTTGGCACCCAGCTTCAGGAATTTCGGCTCCAGAACGCCACTGGAAGCCCACCCCTGGTTCAAAGGTCAAACTCTAATCCTTATGCCTGATGGATTAGGTATGATTAGGTTGTTTCCCTGGATGTTGTGGAGTGTGGGCTACGCTGGGTGCTAAATAGCCCATGTTGTTTACTTTTTCCACAGGGAAGCGGAAAGGGGATGGGTAATATTTTGATTTTTCCGACCACCTTATTTAGCACCCAGTACGGATCAGGAATCACCAGCAGCACCCCGGAACCACTGCTTTTTGGACATTTTAAGACATGGAAAATAACAATTGTTTGGTACTGGATGGATCTCTTTGCCCAACCCGAGCATCAGGAGCTCCAGAGCGACAGGTCCCTGGAGCGTCGTGTGCAGCTCCTCGAATCTGAGATGGCCCGGAGGGAGACATCTTGGAACCTCGCGCTGGAGAACAAGGTGGAGCGAAAGGTTCAAAGCGAATCGACCTTTTCACCGTAAGGGCGTTTCTCAAACCGACCAAAAGAATGGTCCACTTGTTTTTGGAAACAGAGGGGTGTGTGCGCAGTCAATGTTCCAACATATCAAGCTTTGATTTCTAGTTCACTGGTGTTGGTTTGCTGCTCAAAGTGACCAAGTGTAAAAGTGAAGTGGCTCATTACACGACTCCACGGACACAACTTTCGTGGTGGCAGGCGGCAAAAGTAGAGAAGGACTCGCGGGACTTCGATGCACTGGAGCGCCGCACAAGCAGCGCACTAGCGGAGAGGGCCGAAGAAGCTCATGTCGTTCAGGCTGAGGCGGGTTGGGTGCAACGGACCCACATAACGGAACAGCCCAACACGGAATTCACCAGAATGTCCCACGAGGAAAACATAAGACAATTGTTGTCCACCCAAAGTCAGGCCTGAGGGTACAGTGCATCAGAAACAGCTGATATTGAATCAATAAAATGTACCATATGACACTTGGCTCAGCTCTGAGGTGCAATCCTTGCGGAGGTCTCTGGGAAGATTCGAGGATGAGCTGGAGAGTTTGAGGAAACTCCGACAGGGGGAGCAGTCCTTTTGTCAAAGCCTGACGCTGGAGCAGGAGCGGTTGCGCCAAGCCATGTCTGAGAAGCTGAGAAGCCTGGAGATGGGACTGCAGGAGAGGGGTTGGGGCAACCTGTTGTTGATGTTGAATGTCTTTGAACGACAACTGTGTAAACTGCTTTTCTTGTTTTCCCTTGGAACAGGACCAGCATCAGGTCGTTCAAGCAAAATTGACCCAAGCCTGTATGTACAGGAGTCCGCTCAACAAAACCTCGCGGAGAGGCTGGAATTCGTGGAGGAAAAGGCAGGGCTGCTCCATGTTGACGTTCCAGAGCCAGGTTCTTTTTTTTTGTTTATGCAAGGGAACTGAACTGGTGACTTTCCCTTTGTTTCTCCTCTAGGAAATGATCTCATGTTAAGATTGAGCCAACAAGTCTAAGGAACTTTGGCTGCACGTGATATTTGCGTGTATATATATATATACATACGCAATGAGAAACCATGAGACCCTGTAAATGCTCCAGTAAGATTCAGTCCATGAACCAGGGCCTTGGCAGTCGGGCTTTCGGAAGATGCAGGTGAGGGGCCAGGCACTTCGATGAAACAAACTAGCTGCTGGCCAACATTTGTTTGCCGGAAAGCCAAGTTTCAACTGAGCACCCGTGGCCTTGTCTTTGGGTAGAACGTGAGGGGCTTCACAAAGCTGTCACAGCCAGGTTGAAGGAAGCAACAGCAGTAGGTTTTGGGCATATATATTTTTCGGAAACACAAAAAACACCATCCAGGTTAGAAGGGGTGTGACCTCTGCGGAGATGGAGACTTTCCTGCGGTCTGTGAAAAGCGACACGGCCGGGTACATCCACGAGGCCCGCGGCTTGATCCGAGAAGCCGCCAAAGAGGTGAAGCAGGCGCTGGGCGGGCAAGGTTTCTTGAACGGGAAGCAGCTGTCACATCGTGGGGTCAATTTGTGTTGAAAACCGGGCTGTTTCTCGAGATGTTCCCCCCCTTTTGGCCTTTGAATCGCCAAACCGGGGGGTTCCGTTGCAACGTGGGCGCGAGGATCTCCAGAGCGACTTCCTGCGCTGGGTGGAGTCCTGGGACGGCGGCTTCAAGCGGGAGCTCCCGAACATCGAGAAGGAGCTCATGGGAAGCCTCAGCACCTCGCTCCGAAAGGGCTTCCCGAGCTCAGCGAAATTCGTTTCCCGAGCGAGAAAAACCAAATATCTGCATGCGAGATCCAGGAAATAAGTACGCAGCTACTTATGCAGAATGGGTATGACTCTATCACAATGTGCATGCACATATATACATGTCAGGATATATACATATATTACATTGTGCATGTACATGATATTTGCATGTCGCTTGACCATCAAGTCTTCTTGTGTGGACATTTCCCATAAACGGTGGCGCTGAGCTGCCCACTGATCTGCATTGAGCCCAACCTAGCCGTATAGACAGTTCCATTTGGTTGCAGTTAATTACGCCCAAACATGTGTTCCAAGAAATAGACCTTACTGGGAGTACCGAATATTGGAATCCTTTCGTTGGCAGCCCGATTGAATGGCCATGGTTGAAAGAAACACGTTTACAGGATGCCGTCACCCCCGACCATCCCAAGCAGCATCCCTGATGGGCTTGGACAAGGCAGCCAAAAGCAAGTTGTTGCCATATGGATGTGGCTTGAAAGTAAAAACAAAATGGACCGCAGTGCAAAGTGAGGGTTGGGGTGCCACAGCCATGTCAAGGTCGCAGAAGGTCACCCTTTGGATCCGCACCCATATGTGAGTTTGAATCTTCCGACATAGTCAACCAGAGCCCCATTGCAGGGAACTGGAAGACCAGGACAGCAATTTGCGCTTTGTGTTGGGAATTGGACAGTTAAGGCGTTTGGGGAATTTGGATCTGAGTTTCACAGGAATCGACAAACGCATGCGGGCCGGCTTCCGTTCGCATTGTTCCAGGCCTTTGAGCTGGGGGGTTGGATCAGTTGGATCTCGACCGGTCTGCCATGAAGTTTCGCGCGTGTTCGAGCTTTGGGGGTTAAACGAGCTGGTCCTAAATTAGAGAGTTTCGTTGCATAATCCTAAATGGCACTCATTTGGAATGGCCCCAACTACACCGTGACCCGTATCGGGCGAGTTTGAGCTAGCGCTAAGGCAAGGAGACGCAGCGTTTGGCGAGTGATGTGCGGGCTCGCGGTCAAAACGGCGGGCTTTGAATTACTGCCGCCGACGCCCGGCAAGTGCAGTGCTTAGAATTTAGGGTTCTCCACTTGACTGCGACTAGAGTTCCTTTCAGTGGTTCGAAGCGATCTTTTGTCATGTTGCTTTTCCCCCTTTGGTCCATTTGGAGTCAATGTCCCAAAAGGTTAGCCTTGTATTGCCATGCGAGCAGAGTTTTTCTTCGCGCGACGTCCGAACATCGGAATGCGTTGATGGTGGACCCTTGCGACCCGCCGGCAGTCAGACCATGTTTTACCGCTTTGGCGGTCGCACAGTCGAATGCCGAAAGAACAAAGAGAGAGGCGTGGTGCAAGGAGCGCGTTGCGCGTATCAACAAGCACATGATCCACGGTCCATATTTTGTTGCCCCAATGACATTGGAGTTTGGTGAGACTACAGTAAGGAGGTGACGGTGAATATCGACTGCTGCTCAGATGTTCTGAGCCAATGATCCCCCCTTTGGTTTGTATCTAAAACATAATCACAATCACATTTTAGGGTGCAGTTTTCCCGGTTTGTCTACTAGCCAGCAGCCACTTTAGCCACACTGGAGCACACATTTGACACAGCTGCCTTCAGAAACGCTGGCAGCACCTGATAAATTGCAGAGGAATTCCAGAGCAGCGGGGGGTAGCCTTTTCTTTCGGAGGGTTCCCAGGTAGACTTCCATTTCCGCTGGGGACGCGCTCAGCTCAGGTGACCTGTTGGCTAGCCCTGACCCTTGCGGATTCGGTGGCCCCGAATCAACCTCTACCGCGTTCAGCACCTGCGAAAAAAAGGGACCCTTTGCCGGCCCTTTGCCTCTCTTTCTGCAGCTGGTTTGCTTTTGAAGATGACAGAGACGAACCACACGCCCTTTTTTGCAACTAGGTACCTCAGCGTGACAAGGCTTGCATGGGGCCCCTTTTGACACTTGCTACGGCCTTTGCACAGACATGGAACAAAGTCTGAAGGGCCCCCATTTTGGAGGCTAGACAATATTAAAGGGGTTCTGTGGGTACTTCAAAACCAAACAAAGTGATCACATGATAATAACGCATGTTATTCGGCCTCTCGTCTCACTCTTGGTTGGATGGTTTCAATCGGAAGCCAAGCGGATGCTACTAGGCTACCTGGAGGAGTCCTTCATTTCTATTTGGTACTATCTCTGGGTCCTGCACCCCATTTTCGATTTGAAGTCTCGACCGCAGACAAATGGTGGGTAACGAAATCCTGCACCGCCTCTCCCAACTTGATTTTGCCACTGAGCAGAACCCGCAAGGAGGAACATATGGCGTTTGGTATGGTGTGATTGGGTTCCAGGAACAGCTCTATGTCATCATGAGTGACCCCTGTCTTTAACAGGGTGGTGCCCGCTAAGCCTTTGCTCGAGCAACCTTTCAGTTTCCCTGAGGGCAAGTCCTAGTGAATGAATTTCCATACCAAACCTGCTTAACAGACTGCTTCTCTAAGAAACAATCTACAGGAAGTTCTACAAACATTCCTGGCTTCCCGGGTATATTGCTAATGTCCATGACCAAGGGGGGGTTCATACAGCCATTGACCTAAAGAGCTTCACCATCCAAATGCAGCTCTCTTTTTGTTGAGGGGACCCCGCAAAATGGATCAACATGGTAGTTGTCCCCTTCGGTTTCCATGAAAACCACCAACAAGTGGTACGCTCAAAAAAGAAGCAGACCCAAACGGGGCCAACCATCGTCCGGTTGCACCGCTTCGGACCTCCGCCAGGAAGTCGGTGGTGCTGCGGGCGGTGAACCGAAGCGCCAAGCGCCAAGTCGCACTCACGGCGCCCACCGGGGCAGCCGCCGGAGCCTCAACCGGGGGAGGCGCCCAAAGCTTTCAATCTTCGTAGCTGGTTTTACATGCCTGCGTGGGGGGTTGTAGTAAGCATGAGACAACTCTTTGTAGCCACCCACAGGGCTAGGGGTATTGTTTTTGAAGGTACCCTTAAACCCAAAAGAAACCAGCCATTTGGGTTCCCCGTTTAGAGACGAACCCCAAATTGACCGCTCTACATCTCCATACTTCCATTTTCCCTGGGGAACCACAATCACGGAAGTGGCGGCCCTGTATTTTGCCTCTTGCATGCCGCGTGATTTCACCGATTCGGGTGCTTATGATGTGGGAGGCCTTATCTTGAGGATCCAGCTCTCGTTTCAGGTTGTGGATGTTTGTTAATTCACATTTTCAGTTCCATTTGCTTTTTCGTGGGGGGCAGACTAGAAAGATGGTAGTGGCGGACTTTTTGCCTTTCCCTGATTGTCTGGGGACGTGTCCAGACGATCCCAGAGGTCCTTTGAAGGAACGTGACTCAAGCTTGAAGGGGCAGGTTACTGAGCGGTTGGTAGCACGAGCCCCGTTTACCCGTTGGGCGATTCCAGCCTGGTTTAAACATGCGGGTGTGTCTCTGTGTGTGTGTTGGATTGTACCCTTTTCCAGGTGGGTTCAAGGGGAAACCAAAGGGAAACCATCCATTGTTGGTGTCCTCTTGTTTTTGACGCACCTACATGACTTACCCAATCGTTCATTAGTTGCCTCTTTGTCGTTTCCTTTTAAAAGCAGACCAGGTTCTGATTGCCGGGGAGGGGCCACATAGCCTGTGGGTAGCTACCTCTTGAAACCTGGATGTCAGGGGCTGCCGCATGTGGCAGACTTGGACCTGTCAGGTGAAAGGCTGAGGAAACAATGTGGATAGAGAGAAGAGACACGTCGCTGCCTTTCTTGCTTCGTTTGTGTGTGTGTGAGTCCATGAAAGAACGATAGAACACTCTTGCAATATATGTCTCCCCTGGCAGTCAATGGTCAAAGCGGCATTCGATTGTGTATCAGCAGTATACATGCACATGATGATCTCTCATACAGGAGGCTTTCATTGCCATCTTGAAGTTGAGCACTGGGTTTCAAACACATGGTTGTTGCAGTGTGGCTGGTCGCTGCAGCAGGGTATTGTGGCAAAATGCAATTTTGCAGTTTATGTGAATGAGAGAAACCATTTGGGGTTCAGTTTCACATACACTGTGGGTGAGGCGAGGCATGACGTCATTATGCATTATGCTATGTGTCAGTGGTGTGATGAGCTATGTGTGCCACACCCGGAGAGCTTCAGGTAGCCTTGGATGGCTTTTTTGGGGGCACCCAAGAAGGAGTTGCAGTGCCTCCTTATATAGGTACCAACGGACCCAGTGGGATGCGTGTTGAGCGTTTTCTGTCGTGTTCCCTGAGTGCACGGAATCGGACTCTTGCTCGTTGCGGCGTTCCGAGCCGAAGGCGGTTCTTATCGGCGGCGAGACGACCCACTCCTGGGCTGGGATTGGGCAGGCGCGGCGGAGAGGCCTGTTTCGGGGGTCCGTCTGAAGGTGGCACTTGGCTCAGAATGTTCCTTGATCGCCAAAGGTGTCTTCGCCAAGACAGCCCATAGGTCGCAGAACAACCAGGGGTGTGTCCGTTTTGCATGGACTCCCTACATAAACCAATAAGCCAACAAAAGGGCATGTCCTTCGTTGGCGGCAGGTGGCCTCGTTTGGATTAGGATTTTTGAGACATGTGCTCTCTCCAATCTGTGTGGCAGCTGGCAGCTGCTTTGTTTGAGTCACGGGCGCCAAAGCTTATCTTCGGGTCGATGGCGCGATCCAAGGTTCTGAATTGTAGCCTTGGGATATTAGCAAGCTTTGGCCCAGCACCCCCCACCCCCCTCCCACCCAGAAGTTTGCAGTTGTTTGTTGGCCTGCATGGTTTGGCTGTTGTGGGGTTTCAATGGTGCATCCGTTATATCAGCTTGGTGCAATCTCAGTTGCGGTTTCCTCAACCGAGCGTGACTGCTTTTTTGTGGGATCCCCTGAAGAGCCAAAGGGCCAGTGCCTTGCACTTACTTAGCCCTAGGCCAAGGGAACCAAGGAGGAGATTGTCGCCCGGGTGCGCTCGGCCACTTGGACATGCACCCGGGCAGAAACTGCAGTCATCATTTTCCAGTTTAGTTTCCTGGTCAACTCGGCAGGGCGTGAAAGAAAACATTGCCAATGCGCGAGCAAGGGTCGAGTATGCTTGTTGACTGAGCGTTCAGACCAACATGCCAGTGGCTTTAGTCGAGCTTGCTGACTTGTTTGACATGTGTGTTTGTTTGTTTGTTTGTTTCTTTGTTTCTTTGTTTGCGTTGTGTGTGTGTGTGTGTCTGTGTGTGCTTGCTGCTTGCTTGCTTGTTTGACTGCCTGCCTGCCTGATTGCTTGCTTGCTTGCTTGCTTGCGGTCTGTCTGGCTTGCTTGCTTCCCTGGTTTGTGGTACATGTCTGTATTTTTACGTAGGTGTGTATGTTCAGTTGCCGATTTATTGTTTGTTTGATTGTTTACTGGTTTGTTTGCTTGCTTGCCATTTTGCTTGTTTGTTTGTTTGTTTGTTTGTGTGTTTGTGTGTTTGTTTGCGTGTTTGTTTGTTTGTCTGTCTGTCTGTCTGTTTGTTTGTTTGTTTGTTTATCTATTTATGTGTTTGTCTGTTTTTGTTTGCTTGGTTGGTTGGTTGGTTGGTTGTTTCTTTGTTTGCTAATTGTTTCTGTTGTGTTGTTGTTTTTGTTTTGTGATTGTGCGTGTGTGTGATAGTTGGATTTTGCATCAGTTTGGTTTGGTTTGGTTGTCGTTGGTTGTGTTGCTTGCTTGTGTGTTTGTTTTGCTTGATTGTGTGTGTGTTTTGCTTGCTTGTGTGTGTTTTGCTTGCTTGTGTGTGTGTGTGTTTTGCTTGCTTCCTTGCTTGCTTGCTTGCTTGCTTGCTGGCTGGCTGGCTGGCTGGCTGGCTGGCTGGCTGGCTGGCTGGCTGGCTGGCTGGCTTGCTTGCTTGCTTGCTTGCTGCTTGCTGCTTGCCGGTTTGCTTGCTTGCTTGCTTGCTTGCTTGCTTGCTTGCTTGCTGCTTGCCGGTTTGCTTGCTTGTGTGCTTGCTTCTTTGGCCGGTTGTTTTTGTTGTTGTGTGTTTGGTTGCAGTGAGTTCGAATTTGCGAATTGGCTTTTGTTTTTTGTTGTGTTTGTGTGTGCATTGTGTGTTTTAGCATCTTTGTTGTCATACGGGTGTGGCTCAAAATTAAACAGCAGGGGTTACGCAGGTGTTGGTCCATTTTTCCACTTACCAGGGTTCCATTTTGGTACCGGTTTTCTGAGCCACAGCCATACAGCGAAACAGTATGTCTTTAGCATTTGTAGGCAGAATTCCGATGAAACCGCATTCCGCAACAGCACTGATGCTGTAAACGGACACTGGCCCGACCCTTGGGACTCTGGCTTGCTCATTTTTCAGCATTTGGTTGGGTAGTGTTATTTGCAAGCTCAAAGAAGCATTATACTCTTTCCGTTGAGATCATCCTTGTTTGGTATTCGTGTACCGACTTTCCCTAAACATTATGGTGATGTGTTGTTTGATGGTAAGTTCTTAAGATGGTCAGCCGAATGCAATAGAGCATTCACACTAGAAAAATGGTTCTGCAACATTCGCTGAATCAACTAGGATTTCCAGGTCGCATCATCGTATGCGTTTGTGTTCACCCAACCCCTGCAAGTATGAAGGTGTAAGACTGTCTGTTCAGTTTTATCCGTGAACAATACGGATCGTTTGGGATAGTAAATTCGATTTCTCTCCACACAAGTAGTTATATATGGTCTACACACAAGCGCATGTCGTGTATCTTGTACGATTGCCGGCAGAAACATATGATGTGCAAGATATTCTCTTTGACAGGTGTGTTGGTCCGTTGCCGCGTCACGGCATACTCAATTCGGACCATGTAGTTGACGCGGCTGATGGTTGATGTGTGCTGAATACCACTATACTATGTATCTCAAGCAATCGTGTCCAGCACTCTGTTTCAGCAGCTAAGCCGCTCATGTAAGGAAGTGACACCACCTGGGATTCGATTTGAGAATGTTTTGGGGTGACCAGGATGTCTTGTATAATGCGAGATATCCTCGAACTTGTGGTGGTAATCCCTGTTGGCATGAAGCACCCTCTCACCTGAAAACTGGTTCTGACATAGCACAGTCGTGGTTCTCGGTCAGCTTAGGACTTAGGATTTGGACCTGCCCATCCCATGAAGTAAAGCTGCGTTCCTTAAGGAGGAGGGTCTACAGCTGGTGCAAAGGAGCGATCCCCGCTGGACCGCTTCCCCTCTTTCAAAGTGGATGGTTTTTAAACAATCGCATCAACCGAAGCCCCGAAATCCTCAAGGACGCTGGGGCCTGCCAAAGATGGAACTCCGCCAAGATGTTGGTCATCGACGAGGCCCGGGCTCTTCTTTGCGCGCCACAGCGATCCATGGTCGTCCTTCGCGCATAACCCAAGGCCGGTTTGGCGGACAGATCGTTTTGAGGATCGCGCCAAGATAAAGGTCTAAGCTAGTTGCTAGTCAGCTTGTGCGGGGGTTATGTAACTTGTCAGCTACTAAGCTGCTTAGCTACTTAGGTTGTTGTTTGTTACTTGTAGTTATTTGTGTACTTGGCCGATGCAAAGCACCCAAACAGCAATTGGTTGATGGTTAGCCAGCTTACCGAGCCAACTTACATGCGAAGAACAGCGCCCAAAGTCTGTTGAGGGTTGTGCTAATTTGCATTAAACAGCGCCTGCTAGAAGCCACGTAACCCAATGCAGGTTAGATGCCCAGAGCTGCAGTTGTGTGCGTCCTTGCTTATCCAATCACCTGCTTGCTGACCTATTGGCTTTCAGTTCATCTATGTGTGCATCTATGTATCTACCAATCTGTCAGACTACATCTACGCATCTGTACATCTATTCACGTATCTGTCTATTATCTACCTGCCTGTGTGCCTATCTGCCTGTCCATCAAACCAGTATATTCTAAGCTAACCTATAATATATTCTTTCTGTATATATCTATCTGCCTGTTTGTCTGTCTGTCTGACTATATCTATCTGTATATACATCTATATTTGTGTCTATCTATCTATCTATCTATCCATCTATCTATCTATGTGTCTGTCTATCTGTATCTATCCATCTATCTACTTATCTATCTAATCTATCTATCTATCTATATATCTATCTTTCTATCTATCTATCTATCTATCTATGTATGTATCTATCTATCTCTCTATCTCTCTGTCTATCTATCTATCTATCTATCTATCTATCTATCTATCTATGTATCTATCTATATATCTATCTAAATCTATCTATCTATCGATCTATCTATCGATCTATCTATCTATGTATCTAGCTAGCTATCTATCTATCGATCTATCTATCTATCTATCTATCCATCTATCTGTCTATGTGTCTGTCTATCTGTATCTATCCATATATCTATCTATCTATCTATCTATCTATCTATCTATCTATCTATCTATCTATCTATCTATCTATCTATCTATCTATGTATTTTCCTATCTATCTAATCTAATCTAATCTAATCTAATGTATCTATCTATCTATCTACATGTCTATGTCTCTATCTAGCTATCTATCTGTCTATCTATCTATCTATCTAGCTAACTATCCTGCACACACGCAGACACACACACACACAGACACACACACACACACACAGACACACACACAGACACCCACGCAGACACACACAGACACACACACACACAGACACACACAGACACACACACACACAGACACACACAGACACACACACACACACACACGCAGACACAGAGACACACAGACACACACAGACACACACACACACAGACACACACACAGACACACACACAGACACACACACACACACACACACACACACACGCAGACACAGAGACACACAGACACACACAGACACACACACACACACAGACACACACACAGACACACACACAGACACACACAGACACACACTAATCTATCTATCTATCTACGTGCCTATATATATATATATACGCATTGACCCTTTTTGTTTTAGCTATCTAAGTATCGTTCTATCTATCTGCCTGTCTGTGTCTAGCTAACTGTGTATCTACATACTTTGCCTATCTATCTATCTGTTCGTGTATCACTCTAATCTAGTCTAATCTAATCTTTTTATCTTGCTATCTATCTACTAGTCGTGCGCGCGCGACCCTACAAAATCGTACAACGTCTTGCGCTGGCCAAGAAATATCTGCTCCAAAGTGCTGTGCCTGCCACGAAATCAGCACGTGACCCTCCGAAGCACAGCGCCTGGCACACAGATCAGCCTCCGGTGAGACACGCTCCAAAGTGCTACCTGCCACACAATTCAACGCGCGACTCTCCCAAGTGCTGCGGCTGGCACAACATCCGCACGTGACCATCCAAAATGCTGCTGTAAAGGCTCAATTTGCGCGCAGGCGCAACGAAAACAGCATTTTGCAAGTCGCAATTGCACATTACGAGCCCTCCGAAACAGCAGAGCAACTCTCGCCATCTTTTGGCACCTGCGACCGCTTGCGAACACACGCGAACGCTTGTGAACACTTGTGGACACATCGACGCATTTGGTGAACACATGCTGATTCCCTGGCCCTTTTCTACAACGGAAACTCTGCTGCGCATTCGGGAAAATATACACCCATGTGGCCATGCGTTTTTTAGAGCTGCCCTCCCAAATCGTTGGACATACATCCTCCAAATGTCCACCAGAGGCTCTGGCCAGCGTGTTCTCTGAAGGGTAGCGTTCAGGTGTCCATGATCTCCGCCTGGCTGCTGGACCTTCTGGACGCCTGCGGCCGCAGCGCGCGGGGCTGTTTCTCGCTTCCCTTCGGTGGCCTGCAAGTCTTGCTTTGCCAGGGCCCCGTCTAGGCCGTAGAGAGCGTACTTTGAACGTGCCTGAATTACTGGTTCGGCTATTTCAGCACATGAAACTCCTTCAACAATGGAGGTTCTATTAACCCAAATCCCTAGGCAAACAATGGTGGTTGAATTATATTAACCCTTTTTGTGCTGGTGGTTGGAATCCCTGGGTAGGGGTTTGCGCTTGGAGGTGTTGGGGGGTGCGAATAAGGGAGGAGTGTGGGCGATGTTTGCTGCAAATATCGGTTGAAGCCTGGTTTTGCTTGGCTAGGGACGCTTATCAAGCCTGTTGTGTGCTTTCATGAAGATCTCCAAGGATTCTAACTTACCTCCTTTACCGGAGCAGCTTTGGGCTGTTGCCGGCCAAAGGCTAATCTGTTCACCGCTGAATTTGCAAAACCATGGCCACAGTTTGAGTGTGAGGTGGGGACTTTCATCAGCTCCCTCCCCCCGACAACCACAGCGGTTGGGCCTTTGAGGCAAAGGCGCGCAGTCCCAGCGGATCCGAGCGAAAGGGCGGGGGTTGACAATGTTGCACATGAGGAAGGGATAGCACTACTGCAGTCGAGGGATTGACATTGGGTACGCTCACAGGACATGGAGGCTACTCACCTAAATCTAATGTCGTTGGCGCACAGGACAAATATTGATGTGGCCCGGTCAATCTGCCAATAAATGTGCCCACAGGCTGAAGTGGTGTTCTTGTTTTGTCTGGTCCTGCAAGCAAGCTGGGGTTGGTCAGATGCTCAAGTAATGAGAGGTTTCCTCTTTCATGCTGTGTTTTTTTTCAGCTGATGGAAGATATGACTAAGTCTCATTGCAATTCGGACCTTTCGCATTTCAACAGCTTGAATGGAGTGATGTTGCTTGCATCCGAAGTTCCAATCCTTAGACGCCCATTGGGTTTGGTTTTCTAGTGAAGTCCGGAGCAATTCTTTAAGCTTTGGATGGGCCGTTTTGTACTTTGATTGAAACCTGGCACGGTGCCAGGTACTGCCATTTCATGCCAAGTACGCTGCTCTTGGCATCGCAAGTCTGTATGTGGTTGCAGCATGCAAGTGATCTGTTTCTGCCTCTTGCTGCGCCTACTCTATGGTGGGATTCATTTGCAGGCAGGCTGTGGACGTCGACCCCCAACAAGCAGGGAGCTTGTTGCTTCCCGGTGCTCTATCCGCCGAATGCGCAGTTGCTGACTGTTGCCCCTGTAGACATCCACTTGTCTTTCCCCCTGACTAAAAAAGCAGGAGTTTGTCATGGAACATGTTTCATTTTTTTGATATGCCCAAACAAAGGGCCGGCTCTTTGGAGTAGGGGAGTTGTGTGCAAGAAGCATCCGCGAGACTGACAATGTTGATGCTTCAGCATTTTGAAGCTGGGTACCGGTCATGCGTTGACCGCATTTCTCACAGATGTGATTGTCCCTCCTTGCATGGCTTTAGATTGGTCCCACGTGCCAAGGGACTCTTGAGCTTTGGTAATGCGAGCCAATACACGAGCCCAGCTCTCATCTGGCCGATTGCAGTCTGGCGCGAGGATTCTCGCTACATCCATTGAAGCCCAAGCCCTCCGGCCTTTCACCTTTTGGCACCAGTTGATGTTTGCTCATGGTCCCAAACCGCATTTTTCCCTCAGACCTTTTTGGCAAGAGAGGAGCTGCTTTCGGCTACCAACTTGGCTCTGCAAGCCCGTTGCCACCATTGCTCAGCAAGGTATGTTCCTGTCGCTTTGATTGGTTCGGCCATGCTGGCCTTTCCATGACATAGACATAGACCCAGAGAATGGCCCCCAAAACAGCTTCCTTTAAACATGAGTATTGGGGAAGTTCCCTGGTTACCAACATGAAGGATGCAATGGCCGTCACGCAGCACACATGACAAGCCTGAAATCTAGGGGAGCAACAAGTTACGGGAGAAACAAGTAATTAAGCTACGTAACTCTCCCGGTTTCCTTCCCTGGCCAGCAATTAGCTATTGGTCCAATGATTTGTTTTGCCCCTATGTTCGACGCAGAGCAATTTTGGAAGCAGGGAGCAGTTGCTCCCCAATATTGGCTTGCCACATGGACTCATTGACCTAGGATGCCGGTTCCCAACTGCCTCAGGAGGCAGGCCTTTTACCCCTGGATGCTCAATTCAAGGCTCCAAGACCTGCTCGAGCATCCCGAAAACGAGACTCACTCACCCATTCATATATATATATATACATATATATATATATACATATATACATATATGTGCCTGTATACGTCGAACGCTGCTGTTGGCGGACCCCCAAATTGGCTTCCATGCCCGATGTACCCTTCAGCCTGACATGAAAATCATGCAATACTCCCTTCCAAGACAACCCAAAGCAGAGGGCGTGCGTCGTCTGGTCTGCGAACCCTTTTTGTGCTTTGCTCAGTCTCTTTCCTGAACTGTATAGTTACAGCAAAAAAAGAGTTTGGCACGTTTGGTCCGAAGTTTTTCGCAGAGACTCTCATCCCTTCCTTTGGTTTCCTCACGGTTTGTGTCCCGCGAATCCTTTTTCGGCGTTCCGTTCCGGAGGTCTGGAAGGAGGCCATCGGCCTGTCGTTGGAGCTCACAGAGGTTCCGGGTTGGCGAAATGGGAGACGTGGTCAAGACAAAATCAGATTTGGATGAACTTGTTCTTTGCCCCAGGTTGGGACGAGGTCATGAATGCAGTTCCCGTGGATGAACAACATTAGAAAACATGAGCTGGGGAAGGAAGCTGAGCATTTTGGATTTGCCTAAAGCTTCACAATCATGACCTGGGCTGTCTATCTTTCTCCACTTACTTTCAGGGGGGCCAGGCAGCAATTCTTATTGTATAGAGGCCTCTTTGTGGGTTTATTGTGGGCAGCTTTCAATCAAGAGGCATGTAAGGAAACATGAGTTTGGGGAAGCTGAACATTTTGGATTTTGGGGCGGGTTGGGGCTGCTTGTTTGTATTCCAGGTCTTCTCGGGCCACCCGTTTGTCTTTATTTCGGGCTGAACCTTATCTGCAACCCGAACCCCGCCATAGGTTTTTTAATTACCTCTGATTTACAAGCCCCGAGTCAAGCTAGTCAAGGGGCACAAACCCTTCAACCTAGTCTTCAGTTGCTCTCCCAGAGGGATTTCCCCATGCCATTTGGTTGGTAGTGTGAAGAGTATGTCGTAGACAGGGATGGACTTTCGAATACTTTCCAGAGCGCGGCCTTCAGGTGCTGCGCACCGATCCAGCAGAACGACAGCTTTGTGAAGCTTTAGACCAGGCGCGGCTTCTTGGACACTTTTTTGCGGTGACTACTTGGGCGTGCCTTTTGGTCAATTCGCTGCACTCCGGCCATGTCCTGTTCCACTGAGCGTTCGGAGGATGTATGTGGGTTCCATCCAGGTGCTTGGGTTCACAAATGCCCCCGACGACGCAAATAGCGTAGCAAACGTCCTCCGCCCAAACACTCACTTCCTGAGTTCCTGGACCTTATACCTTTTGGCTTTTTGGGAAGACCATCTTAGTAGCAAAAAACAAGTTTGGACTCTTTTAGGCCATCCGCACTCGGGAAGTGAGAACAGCACTCAAATAGGGATGTCCGGATCCCCAATGTTCGGATGTCCGCACGAGTAAAACACCGGCCAGGTGCGACAGGGCCGCGTCTCGCAGGGTGCCTGGACCCTGCTGCGATCGCTCGCCTTCAAGCCCAGGCTGGGTCAACTTCGGACGTCGGCCTGGCTTCGAGTCAAAATTGGGGCCACGGCGGCCACGACCTCTTTGATTTGGGGAATGAAAATGCCCCCCCCCCCCACTTTTTGTTCAGGGTGGAGACTCCAAGTCGGGCCCAGTTCAAGAACGGCAAGGCCCAATTTTGATGATCAAACTCGTTATATTGCCCCGCCATTGTTCTAATAAGAATCCCAGGGAGGACCATACGAATCCCGGGAAAGTGGATACGAGGAAACTTACAAGGGCTTAGGAGTAGTAGCCAGTTGGTTCCAGAATCTATTTGTTATTGTTGTTTGGTGGAATCAGGGCCCATTAAAAATGGGAATGCCCCCAAACTTCCGGGCTCAATTTATTTTAGGTTCCTCGGGATTGGTGTGGCCCTGGTTAGTCTGAGGTCGCTAAGGTCGTTCATTGACATCATCTCACGTATGTGACGGAGAACCGCAACGTAGATGTTGTGGGCACAGCTGAGTTTGCCGGTCGATGTCGCGGACACCTTTGAGGCTCCGGTTGTTTGAAGGGTTCATGCTAAGCAGTTTCGTGTCCACGCCACAGCTTTCAATGGCAGGTGGTCACCAGTTATTTGTCTTACATTTGTCACCAGCTATGCCGCAATCTGCGCGAGTGGAACCAGAACCGTTATCGCTGACAGCCATGAAAATCAAGTTGCTGCCCAACTGAGAGTGGAGGGCCAGCAACCGAGAGCTGGGACTCAGCAATTGAGAGCGGGCAGTTTGCGGGTAAGTAGTTCAAAAACAGGTGATGGCAGATCGATCAGCAGTACCAGCTGAACTCGCGATGAGCCTGTTTGTTACACTTGGTTGGACTGGAAGTTGCCAATATGAAGAGCTGCCGACCAGTCGGTGGCCCTTCTGTATAGTCACTCATGCAACTGGTTGTGGAGCAAGCGACCAGGTGACGCAGGTAAACCTTGGGCAGTTGCGAAAAATGAGGATTTGAAGAGAGACACCTCAATATCTAACTTCCACCATTCTTCGGAATAGTAAACATAAGTAAGCTGCTAAGATAGTGTTTGTCTTACCGAGTTGTGGGTTTTTGAAATGCTATGTGGGCCCCGGTCAAAAATACTGGTTTCCCCACAAGAGTCCATATCCCAAAGCTGCGCTGGTTCCATGCGCTTTGCTTACGGCAACTCGAGAACTATCCTGCACAGTCCCCGACTCAGCTTCGCACCTTTGCAGGAATACTTATCTAAATCAATACTGCGTTCCGTCTTGTTTTTCTACCCTCAGGGTTCTGTTGGAATCTGGGCTCAGGCCAGTTTGGAACTCCTGTAGTACACGGGGAACTCTGTGCGCTCCATATCAGACCCCCGAACAGTTTTTGGGACGGTGTGTCCTGAGGGTGTGTTTGACCAGTTCCAGGGAGGCATGTTGCGCAAGCAGTTTGCGCGATGTGGCAACAGCACTTTCACCCTCAAGTCCTCTTTGAGATCTTGGACTATGGGATCTTGGGATCCCTGGTTGCAGGTCTTGCAAAGTTTGCAGATGCTTGGCCAATGGACCCAGGTGGCTTTTGTGTGTCAAATGTGTGCTTCTTGAGATCTCGAATCGGCCAACCGTCCCCGCCTTTTCCTCTTGGGTCAAACATCCCTTTTCCGGGCCAACGTCAAGTGAGCATCAGGTTTCCTTAAGAACTATAGTGTGATGTTCCAAGGGGGATACGGATACGGATGGTCGGGAGAGTCTCCAGGCCGACGGATCGCTGCCCGGCCGCGGTGGTACCCACCAACCGCCAGGCAGGCACCCTTCCTCGACCAGCGGACTAGACCGCTCAAGGAACATGCTTGGCCGCTTGGAAGAGAGTGCCACCCCATGCCGAAGAAGCCTTTGCTGCGACTTTGAAGGATTTCAGCGTTTGTCAAGCTTGTGGTTTATCGTGTTTTACCCAAATAAAGCAACCCAAGCCCATTGGGGGTCCCTGATAGTTCCTATGGTCAAGAGTTATATGGCTTGAGACACATGACGGCAACCGGCCGCTGTCACGTTGTGTCAGCAAGGGCTGATGATGCACAGACGTCCAGAGCTCGATTTCGTGCACCAAAGCTCCACTTTGGGCTTATATTTGTTGCTCTTGGTTGAACTTGTAAGCGTGTGTAAGCGTGTGTGCGTGTCGGCATGTTGTTATGTGTGTGGGCATGCGTGTGTGTGAGAGCGAGGGAGAGCAGCCTTCTTGGCAAAGGCCGCTTCCAGTTTTGGCTCATCCAAAGTGTCGGCTGAGATCTTCTGACTGATTTCTACCTACTCGTGTTGACACAGATAGAGCTCAAGAAACAACTCACTTGACTTGTGGACAAGGAAGAGGAGGATGTAGAAGCAGGCATCAATAGACTGGGACACCACCCACAAAAACGCGTTGGCGTTCCAAGTGGCTTTCATATACCAATGCCGTTAAGGCCGGTTTCCTGCTTCATTCAGAAAACACACATGTTTTTGTTTATACATATGTTCTACCCGAGAGATGTGCATTTGTTTCTCGTGATTGCATAACTGCTACTTCTCTCAGCAACTTTACACAAACATGATTTGCTTGCATTTGCTTTCGTCAATATGGTTCCATTGGCAGACATGTGTTCCCATGGGCATCCGTCAGCCAAAGGCCTTGAGCATGTTTCAGGCAGACCTCATCAACCAAGCCGCTCTGCAGAACCTTTCGGCCAAGGCCGAGGCGTGAGTGAACTTGTGCGCGAGAGGATTTTGGGGCTGAGAGTGAAAATGCCAAGCGTGGAGTTCGCGGTGGCAGTTGGGTATGTATGTGTCAAAATACGGGGACGCTCAACATGACGGTTTTCCTTTCGGTGTCCCTGTAAAGCTAACTGAAAAGTTTTAAAGGCTACCCTCAACACGGCACGTATAGCCCCCTCGGCTCTGGCACGCTCACCACGACAGGACCAGCAGTATGAAGCCCTTGTCGTCCAGGGTGGCAGTGCCAAGCAAGCCGCGAGCTCGGCGAGTGGGGTTGTTGCCGAGTCGCGGGCCCGCATGCCGAGAGCGCGAGTGACCGCGAATTCCCCACCCGACAGGTTTGGGGGTGTTGGATTATAAGTGACATGCGACCTCCACAATCGGATCGCCCGCCCGCCGACAGAGCCTGTGACAGATAGATGTGACAGAGCCTGTGACAGCAGTGGCCTGGGACTCTCGCGTCGGGCTGGGGCAGCAAGGGTGAGGGGGGAGCTTCGGTTGCGAAGCTGTAAAGCTGTACATGATTCTGATCATCTGTACCTTTCCGGGACGTGAAGTCAGAACCTTACCTGAGGAACACTACTCCACTGACTATGGGGCAGCGTGCCGAAGTTGAAAGGAAAACAGGGTGAACGGATAGAAATTGGGGAGGGGGGGACCCATGAAATTTCCGGGCCAACTGCAAAAAATGGTTGCCATCGTTTAGTGAGTTTTTCCAGACGCCCCCTCCATCAAAAAAAAAAAGCACCCTCTGAGATGTTTGAGCAAGTCTGACTGATTGGCTCGAGGTGCCTGCAGAGCTGCTGCTCTGTGTGGGGGCAGTGGTTGTTCTCACCACCTCCGTCAGGCGAACCGCCTGTGTCGCAGGAGGAGCAGTGTGCATCGAAAATATGTGGTTTCCGCCACCCTCCAAAACTAAAGCCACTATTAATATAGGGCTTGCCCCTTGGGCCAATGCCATTCGGGACCATGTCCACATTGACAATTGCGCTGGGAGAGCTGATGTCTTGAGATGGGATGCTTGCTTGGCCCCTTTCGCTGGATGTCTAATAAGCTACAGGAAATCAATGTTTTGCAGCAATTCCCGGGGTTTTGAACAAAGCTCTCAATCAGTGTGTTTCTTTCCGAAAACGCACACACGCGCATGTTTCTCCTATCTTTGCTATACTCGTGACTGAACATAGTTGTCAAGTACTCCACAAACCTGTTTCAGTTATAATTTTAGGAGTTTTGGAGGGAGCCCGAGCTAGATGCTTTGGGTTTGCATTAAACATTTTCGGTATTGGCACTTGCTGGAAGTACTGCCTCGCAAACTATCCTGGAAACGTCCGGGTTCCGATGCCAATAGGATATGTATCCCTCACATGGCAAGGGCTCCATGTTTATATTCAGGGGGTACACTTTATCCCATTTTGCTCAGCAATCATGGCGGTGCGTATCTTCAAGATGATGGTCGTTCTTCAGAGCCTGCCTGCGCAGTTCTATGGTTGTGCGGTCGTTTGAAAGAGGGTATTACGTACTACAATTTGCCTCCTCGCCGACAATAAATGGGTTTGTCTCAAACTTTTGGTTGTTGTTGGTAAAACAAGAACAGCAATGACCTGGAGGGGGTCCCCAATATTCAAAACACCCACAAAGGGACTAATGTGTCGTTTGACAACCGACTGCAACTTGATCCCCAAGTGCAAAAATCCTTCACGGGATCGGGATGACAAATTCAATCTGGTAGAGAAGGCGCCGCATGCGGTCAGGCTCGGTGCCACGGGGGAGGTGAAGATTCCGACAGGTACTCGCAGTGAGCTTAGCCAGAAGCGACGCACCCCTGCGTTATACATCCGTTCTTGGGGAGGAGGTCCCTGTGAAATCTTTCAGGCACTTTTGGTTGCATGTGATTCAATCTGCATTTGGGAGGAGGCCGGGATGTTCAGCCAACCAAGGTAAACGCTTTTGGTTTCACGTGGTAATCCACTGGGCAAGTAAGTCCAAAGCTCCAGACCAAGTGACAGGGCTGTCTTGCTTTCATGAGAAAAGGCTGCTAAATGTGCCTGTGTGGGTCGTGAGATTCACTGACAAGAGTGTCCAGGTAAGAAGTAGATGCTGCACTTGTTCAGTCTAAGCTGCGGATTGACTTAGACGGTAAGCATATACAGTGTGTGAGTCACATTGAGGTGCCAAGGTTGACATATTGGCATGGGGTATACATATAGGTGGTTCGCCCAAACGATACAGATCAGAACAGATTGGACTCGTTCGCCCATGTTTGGCAGGGACGCAAAGTACACTCAGTGGAGAGGTTCGGGCCCGTCAATGATGGGAATTGTATGTTGTACGGCGGTTACATTTTACATCTTGGTGCTGTCCAACCCTCTGACCTTGAAAGTGATCACGCGTCAGTGGAAGTTCACAGGCTTAGATGGTGTTTTTTTCACGGCCTTGCGGAAATATAGCAAGTGTGATACGTACCTGTTTTGTGCTTTTTGTTGGTCTCAAGAGTGGCTCTGTTTGGCCGCATCCTTTTTTGGGGCGTGCCACTCTATGTGTTGGAAGCCCTGGCCCCTGTGCCCGGTTGAGGCTGAGCAGTTGGCAAAGTCCTGGATACCGGACGTGAAACTCATGAGTCCCTATGCGAGGCTGCTGCATCACCGGCTTCGTGCCTTTGCAGGGCACTTGGAGTGAGAAACCGTGTGTTGTGTGTTGATTTATTTGATTTTCTGAATTATATGCATGCCTTATCTCCACACAGACGCCTTGGCGTCTTATCCTGACACGGAATGCTGGTGTCTCATTTTGCTGTGAAGGGAAATTCTAATGGTTGCGCTGCTGTTGCTGCAGGTAGACAGTATTGCTTGACTTTGCATCTCCCCAGCTGTCTTGGCAGGTTGAAGAAGTTCAGACTTAGAGCAATGGAATGTCGTGCGCTGGATGCTCGCTGTGAGAAACACTACCCAACGGCAGGCAGCTGAAGCAGTTAGGAACATCGGGAGGAGCTTGCTCTTACAATTGACGAGTTGCTGATCGAACTGCCAACGTGCAGTTCTGCGACAAAGGTCAGTGGCGGATGCTACAATCGCCTACAAATTTGTCAGAGGAAGCAGATCCGCCCCCCGACAGGCTTGTGTTTCTTTGACGCGTCATTGTTGACTCGATGGTGCTACAAATGCCGCTGCTTTTCAGCAGCCCCGGTCGTAAGATAGACGGGTCTTTTCTTCAGACCTTGGTCGCGGTCACACATCAAGGGGCCGGGCGGGAAGCTTGGCAAGTTTCCCATCAAGGCAAACTCTGCCCACGTCGTTGCCAGTTGGAAGGGGGCAAACCTAGCTTGATGTGGCTCGATGTGGCTCGACCTCGCTCTCGAGCGTGTCGAGGCCACGAAAGGCGAGGGCGCCGAGGGCGGGGGAGGCTTGCCGTAAACTATTTGACATGCGCGTGTTATACATGGCTTTTCGCCCTGGCTTCAGCGAGGGCGCCTGTTTGGTGCTTATGATGCGAGAATCGGCCATAAATCATGCTTCGCTTCCATGAAGCCGCATTTGCAAGCCACATAATTACAAGCGTCACGCTTATTTTTGCCAAGCATCTGACATTGCCGCATGCATGAGGCAAGTCCACCAATATCGGTAGGAGGTCGCTGAGGAGCATGATTCAATGATCAGTTGGGGAGGGTTTTGTGGTTGTTTCTTAGTTGCCCAAGTCATGTTTTGACCTTTTGGTTCTCCAATTTGGGTTGAAGGTCCCCAAAGCTGAACCTTTCGTTCCCAGATCTTTTGGCAAGTAAGGTTTAGCTCTAGAATTGTCACAGTTGTTCATGTAGCAATGTAGCAGGAACCATCAAATGACTATGACTGCTTATTCATGAGCCATTGGCATTCCGTGTACAACAAACTATTAAATTTGTTTTGCAGTATGCAAGTGGGGGGTAGGCAAGTTGATTGTTGTGAACACCGGAAAGCTGTGTCCGCGGCCTTTTCAAGGCTTTTTGACTGCGGCTGCCGTCCCAGTTCCCTTTTGGGTTAAACATCACTAGTTGGGCTAATTTTCAGTCAGCCTCCTTTTGGCAAGGTGCTGCTAGGGTAAATCTGAGGGT